TGAGCAATCAAAGGCATTTTTTTCTTTTTCTTTTTTCTGTGGGCTGTGGGCCTTGAACTCTGGGCCTGGGCGCTGTCCCTCCGCTCTTCAGCTCGAGGCGAGTGCTCTACCACTTGAGCCACAGCGCCACTTCCGGTTTTCTGGTGGTTCACTGGACATCAGAGTTTCAAGGAGGGTTGGGAAGGTGGCTCAGTGGTAGAGCACTTGCCTTGCACGCATGAGGTCCTGGGTTCGATTCCTCAGCATCACATAAACAGGGGGAAAAAAGCCAGAGGTGGCGCTGTGGCTCAAGTGGTAGGGTGCTCGCCTTGAGCTGAAGAGCTGAGGGACAGCGCCGAGGCCCAGAGTTCAGGCCCCACAACTGATCAAAAAACAAACAAAAAAAAAATTGGGGGCTGGGAAGGTGGCTCAGTGGTAGAGCGCTAGCCTTGCACGCATGAGACCCTGGGTTTGATTCCTCAGCATCACATAAACAAAAAGAAAAATGCTGGAAGTGGTGCTGTGGCTCAAATGGTAGAGTGCTAGCCTTGAGCTGAAGAGCTGAGGGACAGCGCCCAGGCCCAGAGTTCAGGCCCCCACGACTGACAAAAAAAAGTTTAGAGGACTTTCCTGCCCGGGCTGGCTTTGAACTGCGATCCTCAGATCTCAGCCTCCTGAGTAGCTGGCACCCGGCAATCAAATTCCTTTTGCTCCAAGGAGCAACCAGAGACAGTCTCAGAGTAGCCCATGCGGGGTGGAGCGGCTCTTTTCACGAGTGTGCGCACCCACGCGGGGCCCCGCCCGCCCCTCGGTTCTGCGGCCAGGCCTGGCCCAGCTGCGGCTCGCGGCGGAGGGGGGCGGGGGGGAACAGGCGCTGACCGGTCCGGGGATGTCGGCCAGTGGCGCGGGGTGGGGGTGGGAATCCCGGGGCAGGAGGGGAGCTGGCGGGGGGGGGGGGCCGGGGGGGGGGGAAATGCTCCCCAGGCCGCCCGAGTCTGGAGCCGCTGCAGGATCCACACTTCCAGTGTCGCCGCCGGGCAGAAACAGCAATAAAACCTCCTTCCGGAGCTGGCCCTGCAAAGACCAGTGGCGGCCCAGGCCGGGCGGCCCGGGGGCTGCGCCTCCCGCGGGGCACCTCTCCCGCAACAGAGGTGACCCGCAGCGGGGCCAAACAGCAGAAAATCGCTTCTAGGTGACAGCCAGGGAGGCCAGGGGCACCTCGCGGGGGCGTGGTCGCTGCGGGGCGTGGCTTGCGCCGGGGCGTGGCTACGTCGTGGGGCGTGGCTCCGCGGTAGAGGGCTGGCCTAGCATCCTTGAAACCCTAGGTTCTATCTCCAGCTCCAATAAATCAAATAAACGGCACTTCCTCATCTCGCAGGCCTCTCCAGAGGCCAGAAGGCATCTGGGGGGAGTCTAGACTTCCCGCTGCACTGAAGGTCAAGGTACAAACCTATTCCTTTTTTTTCTTTTTTATGGTTTGAACTCAGGCCTCATGGGTGCAGACAGGCTCTCTACCAATGGAGACGCGGGCCCAGCCCTTCTTTCTTTAGTAGTTTTTGGAATAGGGACCGGGAGTTTTTTTGCCCAGGGCCAGATTGGCTCTCACTCTCCTACCTCTCCACTTCCAGAGCAGCTAGAATTACAGCCAGGCACAGCCACATTCAGCCAAAACTCCTCTTCCATGTGGATAACTGAGACCCTCTCTCACACTGTGTGCTAAATCTGAGAGGAAGCACCTCTTCCGCTTTGACTGACCTTCACCCATCAGAGAACAAATCTGCTTGCTCGTAAAGTGGGCTGGAGGACAACTCTTACTCCCTGCAGAAACTGTGGGTCTTCCCTTAGGTAGGGGAGCAGGAAATGCTAGCAGGGAACGATAAGAACCCAGAAAACTACAAAGATAAGGGCAGTGAGGAACTATTTCTCCAAGGTCATTTGGTTTCAGTGTTGTTTCCCCCTGCAGGGCTGGGGAGGGACCCTGGGCCTTGCACAATGCATCGTGGGTGCTCCACAGTTGCTCCACACCCGCAGCCCCTCCAAGGCCAAGTGAGATTGTAGCTCCCTTTCCTCCGGCAGATAGAAGGCTTGAGCAAGAGAGATCACATTCTCCAGGCCAATCATGCACCTTGGGCTCAGCCCAGCTTCCTGGGGGGCTGGGAATGTGACTTAGTGGTAGAGTGCTTGTCTAGCATGCATGAGGCCCTGGGTTCGATTCCTCAGCACCATATCCACAGAAAAAGCTGCAAGTGGCACTGTAGCTCAAATGGTAGAGTGCTAGCCTTGAGCAAAAGAAGCTCAGGGACTGTGCCCAAGCCCAGAGTTCAAGGCCAGAGACAGCCTCTCCCCCACCCCCACCCCCAAAAAAGACTATTTTGGTTGGGGATTTAGCTCAGTGGAAAAGCAATTGACTAGAAAGTACAAGGCCCTGAGTTTGGTCCTCAGCTCTAAAAAAAAGAAAGAAAAAGTCTATGAGACTTTTTTTCTGTGTACGCCAGTACTGGGGCTTGAATTCAAAGCTCCAAGCTCTTCCTGTGAATTCTAGCTCAAGGCTGCTGCTCTCCTACTTGGAGAGCATGCAGCTTTTTACTGGTTAAGCAGAGATAACAGTCTTAGACTTTTCTGCCCCAGCTGACTTCAAACTGTGTTCTTCAGATCTCTGCCTCCTAAGAGTAGCTAGGATTTTATTTATCTGACTTCTAACAGCAAGACTAAACTAGCTGTATGATGGAAAGCGTCTCCAGCTGACACCTCTCACAGCCTTTCCTCTTGGGTCTGGACAGAGAGGGTGATGAGAGGAAAAAGACATACTAGAAAAACCTTATTCTAAAGGCGGAGTTGCCTGGGAGGGAGGAGGTCGGCAAAGTGGTCACCTCTCATTCTCAACATCATGTCAAAAGTGGGGGTGGGGGGCCCTCACATGTGTGATCCCAGGTACGCAGGAGGCTGAGATCAGAGGATCACAGTCCAAAGCCAGCCGGAGCAGAAAAGTCCATGAGATTCTTCATTAAGCAGCAAAAGGCCACCAAGGTCCTGAGTTCAAGTTTTTGTATGAGAACAATGAGGAAGAAAGAAAAAAAGAATCTCTCTTACTTAAGAGGAAAATCCCTAGAGCTACTTTAGATGGAAGTTATCAGGGTCTGAAGGGAGGACGCAGGGAGTTACTGTTCCATGGGGGTGGAATTTGTCTTGCAGGATGATATCGAGAGATACACTGTGATGATAGTTTCCCAAGAACCTGAAGTGCTTTTCTTTCGATGCCAGTCCTGGGACTTGAACTCAGGACCTGAGCGCTGTCCTTGAACTTTTTAGCTCAAGGCTAGCGCTCTACTACTTGAGGCACAGCTCCACTTCTGGCTTCTTGGTGGTTCATTGGAGATAAAAACCTCACAAACTTTCCTGCCTAGGCTGACTTCAAACCTCCATCCTCTTATCTCAGCCACCTAAGTAGCTAGGATTATAGACATGAGCCTCAGGCACCAGGCCTACTTTTCTTTTTGAATTTCCCTCAATCCTGGGGGTGGATCTGAGTCTCTCTAATCATTCTGATCTGAATGACACCCCTAGCTCTTCTGTCTGCATTTAGTTCCTCAGATCGTAACTTGCTACTTTTGCCCAAGCTAGCCTCTAGCTCAACATCCATCTGTTCCAGCTTTCTGCATAGCTTGGAAAACAGGTGGCTGCACAACACTTAAAAATTTAGTCCCACTCAAGAGGAAATGTACTCATGACCTTACTCACGTAACTGAAACCCCAATGTACAGTCTCTTTACAATAAAAAATTAAAAAAATAATTTTAGTCCCAAACAGTAGCTCACATTTGTAATCCTAGCTACTCAGGAGGTTGGAATTGGGAGGATGGAAGTTCCTGGCTGACTTCCATAGAATGTGTTCAAAACCCATCTCAACCAATAAAAAGCTGAGCATTGTGAACCACGCCTACCACCCCAGCTACCGGGAATACATAAAGATCACTGTCCAGGTCAACTAGGACCAAATACAAGACCCTACCTGAAAAGAAAAAAAAAAAAACTACAAAGCAAAATGGGCTAGGGAGCATCACTTATGTGGTAATGCACATGCCGTCCACGCCGTAGGGTCTGAGTTCAAGTCCCAGTACCACCACCACCAAAAAAAAAAAAGGTTACCAGAAATCTCTCAACTTGTTAGTTTAAGGGTTTACTTAACATATTAACATAGTGGCTATGATGATCTGGATTCCTGTCTGTGTTCTCAGGGGCTTTGGACAATAAACTTGATTTCAATTCTAGAATCTCACTATCAGAGTAGAGCACTTGCTAAAAGGATTCTTACTAGGAATTAGAACGCCGGCTAAAGGTGGGCGATAATTATGGATATTTTATCTCCAGCTACGTTGACAAGCGCATCAGAAGAGACCGTTTTAAGGGGACAGGATATCCGCGGTTCTTCTGCCTTCTACGATTTCTCCGTGGTGATACACAGGGTTGGGGGATGTGACCTCTTGGGTCACCAGAGAGCGAGGTTAGCTGCGCTGCTGGGCGGGAGCTGGCGGTGGAGGGGCATCGCCCGCCCTCCCTCGCGTCCGGGGCACCCATCCAGTGGGAGAAGGAGGTGCAAAGGTCACAGATGGGGCCGACTGCAGCACCTAGACCTAAATCCGAGTCGATGGCGCGGTGCAAGACCGGGAAAAAGGATTTCGCACCGTCGCTCTTCCACAGGGCAGAGTCTACAATGCAGCCCTCTGGGAAAGCCGCAAAGAAGCTACGCACATTTCCCACCTTGTGCAGAGACACCCCCCCTCCCTCGAGAAAAGGCACCCCCAAAACAGCCTGGGTTGCAGATTTATAAATACCTCCCTCGCACATGCGCACTAGGATTTACGAGTGGCCCGGGACGCAGCATGCGCTCACTGCGCATGCGCCGTCCAGCTCTTCCCTCCGCGGCACTAAACGCAAGGTGTGGGGGGGGTTCCTGTGATCCCTCAAAGGAAAAAAAAAAGAGGCCTACGGTGGCCGCTCTGTCCCGGCTTCCTCCTTTCCTACCTCGTAGTGCTTCATGGCTATCCCGCACGGTGGCTCTGGCTGCTGCCGCGGCTAACGCTGCCCACCTGCACGGGACAGAACTCGGCGGCCCTCACACGCACTCGCGGCGGTCGCGCTAGACTAACTGCAGCTCCGCGTCCGCCCCGCCCCTCTCCTCCGCGCGCTCCCCGCTGGCCAATCACGGTAGGGCGCGCCCACCCTCGGCCCCCGCCCCTCAGGGGGCCGGCTTGTAGGAAGACTTGACCCTCGCACCACAGGTCTGACCAATCAGGTTGCGGAATCCAATGAAGGGGCGGTGCACGGGAAGGGGTGGCTGCAAGAAAGGACCGAGCCGCCCACCAATCCTGAGGGAGCCTGGGCGCTGCCCTTGTTGTCCCGCCCCCTCGCAGCGGTCGCCGTGGAAACCAAGGGAAGCGGCAGTTACCGCCGGGCAGGGAGGCGGGAGTAAGAAATTGAGTGACAGGAAGGGCAGCGTCCACGCGGCGGGCGGCGCGGCTGGATGAATGGTGGGTGAAGTCCGCGGTGGGCAGCTCCCAGGGTGCCCGGGGGTGGGTGGGGAGGCCTGGGATGGGGGAGTGAGGACTCGGGGACCGGGATGGAGATCCGGTCCAGCGGGGGACTCCATCGGTCGTGAGTGGCTGAGAAGGAACGGGGCAGTGGGGTGTGTACCCCCCAACTGCAACCCGGCCCCATTCTGGGGGTCCCTTCCCCGCCCTTTGCCAGGGACAGCCCTTCCCCCGTCTCGTCGGAGCTGCGTGTCGTCCAGGGGACTGCCGACCCCGTGAGATGTGACCGACCCAGGGGAATGTAAAAGCCCACCCCTCCCCTCGCCACTCCGGAGGCCGGGAGCTGAGGATCGCGGTTCGAAGCCAGCCCGGGCAGGAAAGGCCATGAGACGCTGCAGTGTACCACTGAAAAACTGCAAGTGGAGCTGTGGCTCGAGTGGGAGAGCACCAGCCTTGAGCACAAAAAGCTGAGGGCCAGGGCCAGGCTCTGAGTTCAAACCTCAGGACTGGCACCAAAGAAAACGAAAGACATGGACTCCCATCACAGGGTCCATAGCTCTGTCTGTCTGTCTGTCTCTCTCTCTCTCTCTCTCTCTCTCTCACACACACACACAAACACACACACAGGTCTTCAAGACAGGCTAAGGAGCAGTATCTCCTTCCCCTCACCTCTGTTCCAGGTGTTCGGCCCCGCCCCTGTCTGGTCACCTTCCCTGACTGAGCAACTCTACCGGACTCAGGCAGCCCAGGACAAGTTCCCAAAGGTAGGCCCTGATTCACTGGGGATCTGGGTGGGGGCAGGGGGTGAGTCACAGCTGGGAATTTTACACATCCGGATTCCTCTCTAGAAACTTCTGTGGCCTGAGTCTTTGGTGTGATAATGTGTCAACGAGCCGTGGCCCATAAAACCTCCACTGGGTCAAAACAGGTGTTTTTACAAGTGTGCTTCCATAAGGAAAGATCCAAGGGGGAAGGTTCACGCCTGTAATCCCAGCACTCCTGAGGTTGGGGCTGGAGATCTTAAGTTTGAGACCAGCCTCTGTCACAAACAGTCACAAAACCAATGGGCTTCTCTCCTCTTCTCCCACTCTCCCCATACCTCCCACCCCAAGCCCCAGAAGTTCTGGGGCTGGAATTCAGGATTTTGTGCTCACCAGATAGGTGCTCTAGCACTTGAGCCATGCCACAGCCCTTCATTTTAGTTCTTTTCCAGATAGGGTGTCACATTTTTGCCCTGGGGAGGAGGAAGGGTGCTTAGGACCACAATCCTCTTAAAAATCTCTCAAAATAGCCAGGATTACAAGTGCACCAACCACAACTTGTCCCCCCGTGGACCTGAACTACCAACCTCCAGATATCTACCTCCCTACTAGCTAGATTACAGGCATGCATCACCGCACTGGGCCAAAGCATTTTTTTCTGTTTGCAGTTGTGGAACCCACAAGTACCCCGAGGCCCTGAGTGTCCCGCAGGGCTTCAGTCTGCCATTCTTGGGAGGCTGGAGAGAGTGTTACTCCAGAGCCTGCCAAGTTTGAGGTGCCTTTGCAAAGTCAAGGAAGATGGATTGAACCCCTAAAATTAGTCACGGTTGGTTCCTCATTCTAGAAGTTTCTTTTTATTTTTTCTTTTGGTCAGTCGTTGGGCTTGAACTCTGGGCCTGGGCGCTGTCCCTCAGCTCTTCAGGTCAAGATGAGCGCTCTACCACTTGAGCCACAGCACCACTTCTGGTTTTCTGGTGATTATCTGGAGATAAAAGATTCAGGGAGTAGCCGGGCGCTGGTGGCTCACGCCTGTAATCCTAGCTGCTCAGGAGGCTGAGATCTGAGGATCGCGGATCAAAGCCAGCCCGGGCAGGAGAGACCCTATCTCCAATAAACCACCAGAAAACCGGAAGTGGCGCTGTAGCTCAAGTGGTAGAGCGCTCGCCTTGAGCTGAAGAGCTGAGGGACAGCGCCCAGGCCCAGAGTTCAAGCCCCACGACCCACCAAAAAAAAAAAAAAGATTCAGGGACTTTCCTGCCCCGGCTGGCTTTAAACCACAATCCTCAGATCTCAGCCTCCTGAATAGCTAGAAGTTTCTTGATGTGATCTAAGTAACTGTGTGTTCTCCATTGGTGGGTTTGGCGTGTGTGCGCTCGCGCTCAAACCAGGACTTGAACTCAGGGCCTAGGGCACTGCCCCTTACCTTTTTGGCTCAAGGCTAGCATTCTAACACTTGAGCCACAGCTCTGCATCTGGCTTTTTGGTGGTTAATTGGAGCTAAGAATCTCACAGACTTTCCTGCCCAAGCTGGCTTTGAACCACAATCCTTAGATCTCAGTCTCGTGAGTAGCTAGGATTACAGGCATGAGCCACCAGCGCCTAGCAAGGAGGGGGTTCGTTTGTTGGGGATGGGGTGGGGTTGTGTGTATAGTTCATTTTGTGTTTTTGAGACGTAGTTTCCCTACATAGCCCGGACTGTGCTGGAATTCTCAATCCCCCTGATTCAGCCTTCCCACAGCTAGGCTTACAATCATGTCTCCATGCCTGGCTCTCCTTTCTGTCATTTGGTGAGGGGTGGGGGACGGCGATGGCTTCTGTTGCTGTCAGGCTGATCTTGAACTCCTAAGCCTTACAGCTCCTCCTGCCTGAGACTCCTCAGTAGCTAGGGAACCCCTCGCGTGAGCATTGAAGTATGAGGAATCCTTTAGTTGGCCTCATGTGGCCTCCAGCACGTAGACTGTCAGCAGAAATAAAATCCAACCTCGGAGTGAAGACTGGCCCTTTGTTATCCCCGGGGTGCTGACACCGTGCCCGGGCTGGGCGGCCCCGCGGTGGGGGTAGGGGGCACATTCTGATGGCATGCTTTCATTCCGATCACAGTGGCTGATTCATGCCCAGCTCTGTCTTTTTAGCCAATTATGACACAATCTTTCGTGAAGTGGGGGAAGGACAGGAGCAGTGGCAGCTCTGAAGGCTCATCAGAGCTGAACCTCGAACTCCGGGGCTTGGAAAAGAAAAGCCAGGGTCATTTGGACGGCTCACACGGATGTGTTTGGTAAAGGACCTGGGCTTGGCCGGTTTCTGGGTGGGTTCGTGACTCTGCCGGTTCCTGGCAAGTGTGAGGGAAGGTGTAGCCAGATCAGACAAGCCAGGGCCTATTCCCAGTACTCTGCTGTGTCAGGAACCCCCCGGGAAACTCTCAAGCCCTATCTTGTCTTCCCTGGGATCTGTGCCTTATGTTTGTGTCTTTTTTTAAATTGCAGTATAATTTGCAGACAGTAAAAATTAGCCCCTTTCTTTGTACATTCTGAACTTATATAGTCAGGGAACAACCACTACATAAAGATACAGAACATTTCCAGCCGGGTGTGGTAGCACACACCTGTACTCCCCACACTCAAGAGGAGGAGATGGGACAATGCAGAGTTCCAGGCCAGCCTGAGCTAAATAGCAAGACCCTGTCTCAACAAACAAACTAGAGCACTAACATCATCCTTAAACAAATTTCCTTGTGCCTCATTTATAGCAGCTCCCCCAGATGCTGGTAACTTCTAATGTGCTTTTTATTCAGGGTTTGGGTGTTTTTCCCCCCACCTTTTCTAGAAAGCCAATAAACATGGAGCCACACAGCCTTTTGAGTGTGGGTTCTCTCTCTCTCTCTCTCTCTCTCTCTCACTAATACAATGCATTTGGAATGTGTTGTATCCATTGCCTCTTTTTTTTTTTTTTTTTGTCAGTTTTACTCAAGGCTACTTAAGCCACAGTGCCACTTCTAGTTTTCTGGTAGTCAATTTGAGATAAGAGCCTCATGGACTTTCCTGCCTGTGCTGGCTTCGAACTGTGATCCTCAGATCTTGCTCCATCCTTTTTATAGCTAATATTCCATTGTTGAGCTGGGAAATGTGGCCCAGTGGTAAAGTGCTTGCCTAGCATGCATGAAGCCCTGGATTCTGTGTACCACATACACAGAAAAAGCCAGACTGGTGCTTTGGCTCAAGTGGTAGAGCACTAGCCTTAAACAAAAGAAGGGACAGTGCCCAGGTCCTGAGTTCAAGCCCCAGGACTGGCAAAAAATTAATAATAAATAATAGTAATAGTAATAATAGTCCATCATGTATCTGGATCCCATACACAATCCAATTGGTTGTAATGACTTAATAATTAATTATTCCTCAGGGCCCATTTGTTCCATAAACATCAAGGGTTTTTCACTGGGTTTTTTCCCAGTGTCAGGGTTTGAACTCAAGTCTTTGGGCTCGCTGTTCTAACACTGCATCTCTGAGCCATGCCTTTGGCACCTTTTCCTTTTTCTTTTTTTGTACTAGTTATTTAATAGTGTCCTTACTTCCTGTTTTCCTATTTATTTCCCCCTTATCTAGAATGACAGAGAAGGGCCAGCACATGCAGCCTTCTACCGAGAAAGGCTCTTGTGAACTTTTCCACCCAGGCTGGCTTTGAACCACAATCTTCACCACCACAGCCTTTCAAGTAGCCAGTACTACATGGTGGGTTGTTGCTGCTGTTGTTGGGTTCTTGAGACAAGCCCTTCCCACATAGCCCAAGCTAGTCTGGAAGTTGAGGTCCTACTGCCTGTCCCTCCCAAGTGCTGGTATTACAGGCATGCATCACCATGCCTAGCTTGACCATAGGTTTTTGAGGTTTGTACACCCTACTCCCCACTAGGAGTTAGATTGCTACTTATGTGACTTTCACATTTCTGAAGGTCTTTTGGGTGAACAAGCAGAATTGGTGAGTGATCATTTGATGTTTTAAAATTAAAAGTTTTTTTTTTTTTGGGTCCGGTCGTGGGGCCTGAACTCTGGGCCTGGGCGCTGTCCCTCAGCTCTTCAGCTCAAGGCTAGCGCTCTACTGTTTGAGCCACAGCGCCACTTCCGGCTTTTTTCTTATGTGGAGCTGAGGAATCAAACCAGGGCCTCAGGCATGCAAGGCTAGCGCTCTACCACTGTGCCACCTTCCCAGCCCTAAAATTAAGTTTTGCTAGACTCCACTGGCTCACGCCTTTCATCCTAGCTATCCAGGAGGCTGACATCTGAGGATCTGAGATCTGAGGATCATGGTTTGTAACCACCCTGAGCCGGAAAGTCCATTAGACTCTTATCTCCAATTAGTCACCCAAAGGCCAAAAGTGAAGCTGCGGCTCAGGTGGCAGAACATCACAGCTCAGGGACTGGATTCAAACCTCAGGACTGGAGAGCACGTGTGCGCAAGCCCTCCGGATGGACTCCATGGGGCCCATCACCCAGGGCCCTGTCTGTCGGCTGATGGAGTACACTTACAAAAGTTTTTTCCCAGCAACACCCAGGCTGGTGTCCTGCCTGGCTGATTCATGAACCCTGGCGTGGCCCTTCCCTGCGTCTGCAGCGTCCAGCGTGCCCGGGGCTGCCTCCCTGGACGCCCTGCAGGCCTCAGCTGCTGGCAGGCCTTGGCTCTGAATTTCCGTCTGGGTTTGGAGTAGTTTTGTTGTTGTTGTTGTTTTGTGTGTTTAGGTTTTTTGGAAACAGTGTTACCGTGTAGCCCAGGCCGGTGTCAAACTCGCGGTCTCAGCCTCCCGAGTGCGGGGATTGCCCGCAGACACACCGCACCTGGCCCCGAAAGGGCCGGGACCCCTGTGCGCCGAGCCCAGGCCTGTGCTGGGGTGCGCCCGCAGGGGGTAGCGGGGCCCGGGCGCCCGCCGGCCCTGCCGGGGAGGACGGGACCGCGCCCGGCCCCGGGGAGCTGTCAAACCCGTCATCGCGCGGGGCGGGGCCGTGGAAGTCCCCGCCCCTTTCCGGAGCGGCTGCCGCCTCCGAGCACGTCGGAATCTTTGGCCTC